AAAAAAAAGGAGCCAAAACGTCGGAGCGAAACCCAACAGATTTCAAGTCTGTCTCCTTAACCACTCGGACATACCGACTTTTTGCTGCCGATTTCTAATTATAACTTTATAAACTGCCAACATTATACCTATTTGATTAATCTCACTAGTTTAGCTTAGCTAATTATTTTGGGATGTGACGTTATCAAACAAGGTCAATCCTTGACAATCTGACATGATCCTTACTAGGGGTGGCAATTCGAGTCAGAAGGTCGGGTTCGGATCAGTTTTCGAATTATGTTTAGAAACTGTCAAAAATAGTGTAAAACTTAATATTATTAGGAAATATGAAATTTGGGTCAAATCGAGTCGAATTCGGGTTGTTCGGGTTCAGTTTGGGTCGGATTCAGATTTCTCTCAGTAACTTTGGGTCGGGTCAGATTTTGCCAGCCCTATTCCTTACTTTATTATTTACTTATTACTATTTTATTTTTTTATAATTTCTTTATACCATTATATAAGATCAAGCTCCGTCAATGTTGTGTCCAAAATATACAAATTCCTTGCAACCCCAAGAATCCACCTTGCCATTAGGTGAGATAAGCTATTACCCACCCGTTTAACATGCGATACTACAAACGAATTATAGGAGGATTCAAATTTAGTGAAACTCAAGATTCATATCTACATATAGAACCTAATACAAATTTATTGGGCCTATGAGTTGACTTGTGAATGAAGGCCCATCCATCTATGATAATTCAATATGAAGATCTAACATTAAAGATTAAATCTGTCATCCTATCGCCTCTTCGGAAAATGAGTGACTAACATTAAAGATTTTTTTTTTTTTTTTTTTTCAATTCAACAAATGTACATTGATGATTGAAAAGGATAAGTAGATGAAACATTAGTTTGTAGTCAAAGGTGTTGACTGGCATGCTTACGTTCTTTGATTAGACCAAAATTACTTGATTAGTACGTAGTAGGTTTAGTCACTACTTTGTGTCCATCATCGATATTGGAAATTACCCCAGTTCGTACTACTTATAGCCAACCATTTAAGACTTTCATACTTCATTCTATACGACATTAGAAGCTTTCACTTGAAACCATCTTATGTAGCCGAAATATGGGTACTTGAATTGTTTTTTTTTTTTTTGAAAGAACACTTCAATTGATTATCGCACCCATATCGAGTGAAAAGTGTTATACATCTGATACATGGAGTATTCTTCTAAGTTAATTTATTTTAGACTAATTAATTAACATACGTACATTGAGTATGTGATACAACGCTTATACGGGGAATACAACGAGGATCAAACTTTTCTCAAATCCACGTACATTTGATACAATTCAATTATCTGCCCATTGTTGATGTTTCCTTCAACAATTTATTTGTAGTCTAGTGGAGTTCATGAATACTTAGTTTTTTTTTTTTAAACAAATCAATTTATTAATCAAAAGTTATACGGCATCCACATATGAAATCTAAATCAACAAATACATAAAATTGAATCAATTAAGGGTTCCTTCATCAAAACTACGATTTTCGGAGAGACGGTTTAACGATTTGCTGTAGCCGTATGGATGATTTCCATGTGATTTACTTGGACATCTTTGAAGATTTGACAACCGTTGCGATACTGGACAACTCTTTACCAACGAATTGATAATAGGCTAGGGCAAAAGATGATTACCTTTTTAATAAACCCTAACACACCAAAAAAAACCTAAACAAAAACAAACAACAAAACTAACGACTCCACCATAGGGAGACGGATGAATATCTACACCAAAATAAAAACGGCCAAAAATTTGGAGAAACCCTAGAAGAGAGGAGGAGAGAAGAGGCAGAAAGGTTTATAACGTTGGAGAACCTTGAATTCATGAATACTTAGCTTATGACTCATCCTTCAACCGGTTTTTTTTTTTTTTTTTTTTTTTTTTTTTTTTTTTTTTTTTTTTGGTGTAATTTTTGGCTAAAATACATCGGTCTACACTCTATACCGTCCAATTTTTTTTAGTTGATACACCAAATATTTTATCTTATCAAATTCTCAATGATTATTACATATATATAACACCTTATCATTTTATGATTTTCCAACTACTTATTCAATTGGTTATGATTAGCAAATCTTATCATTCTATATATAGACCTTATCACTAACGATGAAAAGATTGGCTGATCTTTATTCAATAATGTTGATAATAATGCTCGTCAAATAATTAAAATAATAATAAATAAATAAATAGATAAATAACTATTGAAAAATATGGTTCTTTGTAGTCAAAGGTGCTGTTTGCTGCCATGCACGATACGTTACACGAGTTACACCCTTTGACGAGACCGTAGCAGGTTCAATTACTATTCTGTGTCGATCACTAGATTATTGAATTGGTTGCCATTTTGGCTATTTGCTAACTATATAGCCATTTAGCCAATACTTCTTTTAATTAGATTTCTTTATATTATTTGCAATTCATCATCTTAATTATCACATGTTTTAATGAAAATATATTTGTGAGTACTATATAGGATAAATGGATGTAAGTAAGGTATGTTTCCTTCAATTTAAGAAAATAATTAAGTTTCATGGCTAATTAGGTCTAATCAAGATTGTTTAGATCCAATCAGATATAATTGCAAGGCGAGATTAGGGTTGATATGCGGCATACAATTTTTTGTTGTCAGTTTTCAAAATAATAATTATTTATTATACTTTGACTAATTTTTATGTTCTTTATACAATATATCATGACTTTCAAAGTAAATAAATAAAAAAAAAAAAAACTAAAAAGTACTGTAATGTCGAACAAACCCTTATATTGATTTTGTTAATCTTTCATGACAGATCGACCTCGCATGCCCTAATCATTCTTTTTACGGTTTTTTCAGCCATCCTGAGCTATTGTTTTGTCTGATATGACACAATCAATGTTTTGGTATGTCCCATTTCGTGACACACCTCGCATGCCCTATATCTTACTAATGTTTTGGTAGTCAAAGCATTAATTTTAATTTTGTAACAAATTTTAATTTCCAAAAGATGAACAAAAAGTAAAAAAATATAATTTTTTTTTATAAGTAAATGCTTTTATTAAGTCAAAATTGCATTAAAAAGCTAAACAGCACAACAATTACATTTTACAGTGGGAACCTCAATCTAAAAAAAAAATTATGGTTTCAAATAAATGCTTAATCAAACATTGAAATGGATTTCACTCCTTTCCAACTATATGAGTACTGTGTGAAAATGTACCGTAATATGCTTTGTATACTCCCTCTGTCCCTTTATTAGAAGCCTATTTCTAATATTTATTACTTACATAATAAAAAAAAATAGGCTTCTAATTTAAGGACCGAGGGAGTAATTCTTTCATTCTTTGCACGGTAGAAAGATAATGATGGGGTAGAACACATGGTAAATCTCTAAATTCTTGACAAAAAATGGTCCAATACTCCAATCGCCAAATACCCACATAATATTAAGCAATTTTCGTCCAATAGATTAAGATGAATATTCGCATTTGCAATAATTTTCTAATTTTTCTTTTTTATTAATTGAGTAAATGTTAACTAGATGATGTAGATCTTTTTCCATGAAATTAGGAGTGGAGGACCACCCCACCCCTTCAAAGTAAATCGCATAAAATTGCATTATTTTAAAAATTAACTAAAGTCGAAAGTGAGTTCATGAGATGATGAGAGTAATTTCAAAATTTACAAGATACCTTGTTCTAAAAAATAAGCTATATGTCTTCAACATTTACAAAATTCCTTTGTATCTTTATAAGTGGTGGATGTTGGTCCAAAAAGTATAAAAGATAAGATTTAAACCTTCAACCTTTACTTTAAAATATAACAACCTAACCATTGTAATAAAGCTTTTTCATTCATTTTTTGGGCAATAATTCTATATATCTAATACCTTAAAAAAAAAATCGAGGGTCGGACTCCTATGCCACAATGTAGAGATCCTTCCCTATTTACAACTTGTTAAGATCAAACTCGAGTTGAGCCCTTGCTCGAGATGGGTTTTGACTGAAATGAGCTCAAGTAATTCACAAGCATGCTCAACTCACTAATGCTCCCCCAACAATTCTCTCACTCATAATTTCAAGGAGTAGATCTACTCTCTTTATTTTTTAATGTAAACTTTTGTTTTTCACACTTTCCAATACACTATATACCCGTTAAAACATCAATATCTTTGAAAATAATTAATATATTTATAAAGTTAAAAAAAAATAGAAAAATGGGTACATTATAAAGGCGAAAATCATTTCCTACTCAACGAAAGCGATTTTCATCCAATGGATTTTATGACAAATTATTTACTTTTTCCTTGAATTTACAAGTTTTATTTTCTCTTAAAAAAAAGACAAATAGTCTCACCGAAAATTAAATACGGACTAGTAGTACATGAAAATTGAAATGGACTTATGGACCTACAAAAAAGATAGGAAAAGGATCCGTACTCCACGAGGACGACAGACTTTGATCCTTAGTCAAATCAACCAGAATTTAATTAGACATTGTTTGCTTTCTAATCCGTAATTAAAGTTACTTAGCTGGAATTTGTCACAATCTTCCTTTTATGTTCCCTAACGTGTTTTAGTAGTTCAATCCCATTCCTTAATTATTCAAAGGAAGGCTTGGTTTATCAAAGTTGAGACAAAATTTCAAACCAATTACTGTACATTCTTAATATATACTTCATATTTTACAAATCACAACCAATCCATGCCATACTCTTACCAAACTATAGTTCAACATAAAATACATCTGATACAGAGTTGGACTTGTATACGACTATACGCTAATACCCCATCTCCGCACCACTCTCTCTCTGAGGAAGCTCCAATTTATCTTTATGATTAATACGGAAATGTTTATCTAATCACATATAAACCAACAAAAAATTTTAGTCAACATGATATTTGGTAAAAAAACCAATATCTATGGGGCCCATATTTAATAAGAAATTATTGATTTATTTATAGAAATGTCACTTGATAAACATTCTTTTTGTTTAACAGGAAAATAAATTTTTCGCCCTCTCAAGTCTCAATACCTCAAGTTGTAGTATATAGATCATGAATTAAATGTTATAGGTTGTGCCTCGTGCCAGGCTTGTGTGCCTTGGGGCTTGGCTAAATCTTAACCACGACTGAGCCTATTAGTTACGTGTTATGCTGAAAATTTTCACGAGGTATAAGCACATGTGCTACTAAGCCTAGCCAATGCTTGCGTATGCATCAAATTTAATTAGTTTTAGCATATTTATCATGTCGTGTTACAAGCAAGCAAACCTGATCTAGTGCTATCTTTAATCGCGAATAACCAACTTGTGTTTTGAAACCTCCACTTTTCTAAAGCTTTTGTGAAAAATATTTGCTCGTCGCTTAACAACAGATAGATGAGAAGTACAAATCAAACCATTTTGTAAATCACAGGTGACTTCTATATTTTTATTAAAAAGTTTACTTACCAGACACATTGTAAATGATCACTCATTAGTACTCCGTATAGTATACCAACTACTAGTACGGAGTAGTATAAAGTCTAATAGTAAAAATTATACCTCACAATCATGAAGTTGTGGGATCAATTCACACTACAACTTGGGGGTGGAGACTTTCTTACAGAGTACCATTCACTCTCACTCCCAAGAAGCAATATATTGTTCAAATCAACATTGATTTGTAACTGTGTAAGTTTTATAAAGATAAAATATCTTTCACATACAAAGAAGAGGAAAAGAAATAAGTAGTTTTTATAGGTTCATGGTAGTAGTGTTGAACCAAAAAATAAATCACAGGAACGTAGGAGATGATAAACCATTGTACCTTGCATAAGAAGAGAGGTGGTACTTGCAATCCAACATAAATTCCCCACCAGCATGAAAAATCATTCTATTATCTGCATTTAAGTCAGGATAAATAAAAAATATAAAGTACTGTCCTTTGTCCTATAACATTAGCATCAGATGACATACACTAATTAAGGAACTAATCAAATAAAGTTATGGACAAGGATCCTCCATTGCACAATGCCTCAGTTAGGGAAAAGAGAAAATATATATATAGAGAAGGTAGGCCTACCTTTTCACTCATTTAACCCTCATATATGAGTTGGCAAAACTAGTTTTTACCTAATAGCCAAAATTAAATTACTCAAATACTTGAGCATCGAACTATACAGCTAAGTTAGAGTGTTGCAAGTAAAAATAAACAAGAGGAAGTATTTTAATAGATTCAAAATAGTATACACCCTATATCCCTATGGAATTGAAGCAAAATTGAATCAAACAACTCATCAACAAACTATGAGCAAAACCAAATTAATTGGCCCAATATTACCCTTTTTTTTTTCCACCTTTTATAGTCACGCTGCTAGAGTACATAAAAGTTGACCTGACATAGTTAAAAGACAATACAACAATAATCAGGCACGGAATGTGTATCAATGAATATTGTTATTAGTTCTTAAATTTATTTATCTAGGCAAGTTATATGAGTTAATACAACCAGCGTATTCAACAGGTTAGGTTAGTGTTAAGAGATTATAAAAATTAAGAGAATCATGAGTTGAGGAGAGGAGGTGCTGCCTTAGCTTCATATCCTCCATCCCCAAGGTTAGGCTTATGGTTCTCATATGGGCATGAAGAGAACGAGAGGTGGGTGTGTGGGGTGTCTGCGAATGGCTTTGCTATTACTTGAGATAGGTGGCATATTTTCCGACTAAATTGTGAATGGCTGAGCTTATTTTGGGGGGGGGGGGGGGGGGAGTAGTTTGGTATGATTGGGTCTGGTTGATTCTCTAAGAGAAGGTAGGCTCAGCATGTTTGTGTGTAAAGGAATATGATTTCTAATTATCCATACTATAACAAAAGTCAGTTTATTTTAAGGGGAACATCTAGGTAATTAGGTATAGATTTCATAAAATTAGATGGAGCATCCATAACTACTTGTATGTAGCATGACAAAGAAATAACATCAACATCCTTAAAAAAAATTATATGGCAAGAATACAACAGAATGATCAACTTCATTAAAGGAAATATCCAACATCAAAGAACAAAAGTAATGGATCCCCTTATTTCACTCACATTTCATTGTTCTCAATCATCACATATTCTGTAAACTCCAGGCAATATGAAGTCATATAAGAGTTGGAAAAGGGGACAATATGGCATATGCCATAATTATATAAATGACTTGGAAAATAAATATTAAAATTATAATTAAATAAAAAAGTATACAAGCATTAATGACATAAATGATGGGATATCATTTATCCTATGTGAGGAGGAGATTTGAACAGAAAGATATTCTTCAGAGGAAGAGGCTGAGGAGAGTCTAAACAGAGGAAATTTAATTTTGGAAGGAAGTATGAATGTGAGTTAGAGACAATATTTGTGGTTGAACATTAAAAGGGGGGAGAAAATAAAAACTGAGACTGAGAGTGAAGGAAGGAAGAAAGGGACCAGCTAATCACAACTAGCTTTTTGCTTCTTTGCTAGCTGGTCCTGCACACTGATGTAAGTTAATAATTTGGCAAAGTAAATCGAAAATCCGATTACGGATTTGATTTTATTCAGACATTATCACATTGGGGTGTTGGTAGATAAAGACGTACACCAACAAAAATCAAACTGTTAGTTGATGTACGGTGCGCTTAAGAAGTTATACGTACACTACCTTAACTTGCAATTGCAGGGGGAGGGGGGGGGGGGGGGGGGGGTGGGGAGAATAAGGAAGAAATGTAATGTGATATAGTTTGTACTCTTTACTTGAGGATATATTGGTTTTTGGTTGGTGACAACTAATGTTGGTTGAAAGAGATAGGAGAGATAGGCAGGAAGAGTTATAAGAATGTGTCTCAATGTGTAAACTACTTCAAATCTGACCATCAAAGTTCTAACTGAAAAATCAAGGAAGAACCAAAAATATCATACATGTAGCTTTGAAGAAGAAATTAGAGTGATAAGAAAAACCGATGAGATCTCTATGGTTCTACCTAAATCGAAGCTTGGCACAGGTTACCTAAGGCCTCGAACACCAATGAGAGTCTCATCCAATGATAAAAATTAACGTAATAGGCACATAAAATCTCGGGTTTCACTATATATCAACCATAGTAAACATTGTACTAGCTTTAGCACTTTTAATGGTAAAAAAAGAAAATAAAATAATAACTCTTGGGATTTAATGTGCCTTATGTGTTAATTTTTATCATTCCACACTATTTTATTACAGGAAACCTTCCAGCTATTAAAACTAATTTCTTAAATGTTAAAACTCTTCCAAGTTCAAGCAAGGTAATAATGTAAAAGAAAGGGGACCTATAATGTTACAGGGTCAGACAATGATTCATGCATTCAAGCTATAATGGTTATCTTTCACATGTGGTTGTGGAAAAAAATAAGCGAAGATGGATAGAAAAAGAAATTAATATGTTAGAAATTAGAATAAATATTGCATTTATTCAAGGTTTAACCTTTCACAGAATCAAAAGAACACAACCAACAATACTCCAACTGAATCATCACTTTCAAGTTCAACAATCCCTCTTTACATTTTGTTTTATCAAGTGGGCTCCTTCAACAAAATATAATGCATTGACAATGAACTAAAACAGTTGCCTGCAAATAAGTTTGTTTCCGAAAATTAAAAAATTAAGGCCCTAAACTGATATCATCCACAGAAACATAGATTTATCAACAAAATCGGAAGTCGGAATTTAAAAATATAGGCAAGAAAACAAAGCTCGACAATTGGAAAATTGACGAGAGTGAAAAAAACAGGAGTCTGAAATATCATAATCATAGTCCTCAAACATAAAAAGCTACAACTCAGTGAAACAGATTGAAAATGGCAAAGGGATGAAGCTTTTATCGACCTATCATCATCTATGATCCCTTCTTTTTACTACAAAGATGGACCATATTGCTGGAAATTTAATGCTTTTAATTCTCAGCATTTTAAGCTTAGATTCAATTTCTATATTATGATCAGAGATGATTCTTGTAAAGAGCCTATCATGTTGAGTTTCTATCATAAAGATATCAACTTCTTTACCTCTTTCTTACTACACAACCAATGCATCATAAATTCACATATGAAGCACATTCAAAGTGGCATAACTAAAGTCAAGTTTCACAAAATAAGAAAGGAAGGGTATAGTCTACGTACAATCGTACAAGTTGGAGCATATCCATCTCTTTCCCAGCTTTTGCTCATTTCTTTCTGCCAAATTTAGGGAAAATTGATATAAATAAAAAATAAAATCTACATAGAATCCCTTTATTCTTTCATATTTAATGTTGTAGCATTGCTTTTGAAATAACAAAATACTTTTTACTTCCAAGGATCTTATATATGAAGTACAAAATTACAAAATATCTACGTGAACGTGGTCTTTTGTCTTTCAAGTCAAATGATACATTGTGGAGTTCTCCGTAAATTTTTATATTTTTTAAAGAAAAGGGGTACGACTGTGCAATGTAATTACATACGGAGTAGAATATAACCCAAACAAATAAAGATAATGTTTCAAAGAAGCAATCTCTTGCCACTTGATATTTATGGGACCAAACTACCCAATCTTGGTCATAAATGGACCATTGTTAAAATTCATTCAGGAATTATCACGCAACTTTCTCAAGGAACACTATAACAACCACATACAGAGTACTAGTATTTTATATAACCCATTTTGTAGAAAAAAACAAGGACAATTCCCAAGAAATAATGTTAGTATTATCACTGGTAGTGCTCCGTAATACCTTAACCCTTTTCTCTCCTCGGATTACCAAAACTACTCTAGCAAATATTTTTGTATCGATTTGTACAGTCTCCTATGCCATATTGGCGATATTGCCGTGATGCCAAGAATCAAGATTCAAGATATCCCAAGATTTGTTTGTCTTCTTCAAATATCATGCACTAGACTACGAAGGTTCCTATTAACTCTCTTTTTTTCACAAACAAGAATAATAGTAATAATAAAATAAAATAAAATAAAATACTATGTAAAATAAATTCATTTGAGACACTGATTAAATTTAAGCTAGAGTAATTGGACCAAATTGCCCTTTTATTACTCTAATAGGAAAAAGAGGGAGAAATGGCAAATATTTTAAAATGGATAATGCATTATTATTTCCATATTACCCCTTAAATTCTTTTTAAGAAAATCCCTTTAAATGACCTGTCATCTAATGAAAATAAACCCTAATTCCTTAAATGCCTTAACTGGAAACATTCAAAGAGGGAACAGTCCCTTGTTGTTTAAGGTTAATGCACGCAAATTAAAGTTAATGCAGTCATCGTTAGAAGTGATCGAGTAAAATTATGTTTGTATACAGTATTATAAATTGACTGGTAGTCTGATATGGAGCCAAAAGGTTTGCTGGTTACTATGACTTGGGTAAAAGGGGATAAAAATAGTTACATAAAAGATTCATAATTTAATACATATATACATTTGAATTATTGAAGGCCAATCTAAAATGTGCACAAGGAAAACACATTAATGTAACAAGCAAGAACGAACAGTTTCATTCCTCTCACAGGGCAGAATAAAACTCTGTGAGGAAAAGCTTAGAACTTTTTACAAATTAATCTAACCCAGAAAATAATTTCATGGGTCTTGGGTTAGATCAGTGCTTATAAATTACAACAAAAACCCGATAATCGAGTTTAAAGAATTAAGAGATCCATCACTGACCAAATACTTAAGGTCAAACAATGAAGAAAAGATGTAAAAAAAAAAAAGAGAAGCATCATATCATGCAGAGCTTATGCTCTCATCGAACTGCTTCGTCTTACTATCATCTTTCTTCAAGAAAACTACACCCCTCCCCCCCTAAAATCACCATCCTTTTTTCTTCCGTCGGCGAAAACTTAATAAAATCACCTAAGCATGGAAGTAAGAGAACGAAAAACAACTTCTTCACAAGGGATTGTAAGTCCCATATCATGATCAAATCCAAACTCCTCTTCTGCTCGTTGAAGCAAACATTGGAACTCGGGATGTGACAAAAAGGAAATGGGAACAATGTACCTACTCCTATTCTCTCCTACATAGACAGGAAAATGGCCTTTTGGAACGTCAAGTGGAAGGCCATCTTCGTCGTAACCATGTTTTTTCCCTAGACTAGAACACCTCTTAAGGATTTGTTTCAGCAATGCTGTTTGTGTTAGCTTGCTAGATTTTCTAACAGCCATTTTCTTCCTCTTTACTTAAGTTTTTCCAAGCAAAAGTGTTTTTACTTTTGTTGAATGAGGGATGAGAGGCTTGTGAAGGGAATGAAGGTTACTTAAGGAGGAGAAAAAAGAGAGAGAAAGTCAATAAGAGAGAGAAAAAAGAAAGGGGACCAGGAGGTCATGTGGGGTGTAGTAAGCAAAGGACAGGCCACGGGCGTTTTGGAGTGAGTGTAATTTCTCACCAGGACAAGGTGGGAACCCAGAGCACTTGGCTATAGACCCTAGTTTGTTGCCCCTCCTAATAGCATTGTGGATCCCATTTCATTTCTCTCCTTAGTTTATACTGTCATTCTCTCTCTTCAGGTGCATCTCTAAAAATGAGTTAATCCTATGTTTAAAGTCAGATACTACAATTTTACTGTCCTTGGACTTAACCCAGAAGTAGTAAACTTAGATCCTGACACAGTAATAAAGCATTGTAAGATTTTTTTGGATCTTGTAAATACTCAAGTATTAAATACGGAGTATTTTATACCGTTGATCTCTTACATTGATATGGTACTTCCTACATCGCTATTTGTATGCACCGTTTTAAAATTGGGATGTCTATTGTATGCCACATCCTAGTTATGGTCATATGGTCTCACTACTTCACTCTCGGTTTCTCGTCAACTACATATATAGGACTCCACTACTTTTCTATCTCCTCAAATTCACCCAACTAGATATTTAAACCGTGTCGTCAAACACAATGGTGGGTTCCTTGACTCCTTTCTCTCAATGTAGTTTCGTTTTTTTTTTTTCTTAATATCTAGGGAATGTTCTCTTATTGTATTATCTTAAAGGGATAATGAATATCTGAAGTAGGCTTCATCTATTAACTATTTGAAATGGCCCTCTTATGAACTAATCAATATTGCAGATTCAATTATGTCTTCTAATAATAGAGCTAGAAAGATTAGCAGATAAGAAGAGGTCACAAACAGGCTCATGTAGTCACTATTTGGATCTAAAATGATGATATCATGATTTGGCAAATAAATCCAGAAATGCATGTATGACTAACTAGCATCCATTTATTGGAAAATATTAGGATCAAGCATGATACTTTGGGTTGAAATGAAGAGCATGGGGAACAAGGCTATAGATAGAAGCAATGGTGAAGCCAGAAATTTATTTCAACTAGGTTTAATTCAAACACAAACTAACCTGAGTGTCCCACGTTCATTGGATCTGAATCAAAAGAGGTTATTCTTCCTGAAAATCAAAGAAATTTCACATTAATGACTTGGAATACATTACCGTTGTACTGATTATCAAACTAATATCCAATCATAATTAAGTGAAATTTCAAAGTCCAATCAAACAGATAATCAACTCCTAATAGACATCAGCACATGGAGAGGAAGTACAAAATCTCAACTTTCTATTAGCACTATCATTACATCACTTTAAACAAAAAAGACCTACTATCACACTATTAATAGTACTAACTTCCCAGCTTAGATTCCTCCTGTTTACCAAAATCACGGACTATGAGAGCAATTGTACTGGAAAGGTACAGTTACAGGAACAGGGGTTTTGGTATTTTCTGATTGTTTAGACTTGTGATTCTATAGAAATCAGTGAAAAAAAATATATAACAAATCTCAACAAACAGCACCACAAAAGATTGCTGTTACCATCCATGTGTAATCTGCAACGCCTTTTGAGGTGTCTCTTAATTTTAATTTTCTTGACAAAATAATCCTATTTTGTTTCCTTCTAACTGTTATAGTTAGGCAAAGTTTGAAAGTACTAACTGACTAGCATAAAGCTTAATTTTAATGTAAATCCTCTGTTTCACTTTAACACCTTCAAAATCCTTCAGAAAGATTCTAAATTTAATTTATTCTGTATTAGGAACACACTTTCTGAATTTCGCAGGTTCTATGTAATGTACTTCATATTTTTAATCACAGCATGACTATTCTTTATTTTAGAGACTCCATGGCAAGTTGCCACATTAATTGGTATTTTACATCTCCTATCTCTGTCTGTATTGATAAAACTAACGTGTTGAACCCGTCCTTTCACAACTCAAAGGCTCAAAATTTATAAAAACTAAAAAATAAAAAGAAATTGTTAACTAAAAACAAAATAATACTTAAATTGAGAAAGAAGACGCTGTTTTTCAATTTGATAAATATACACCATTTTGGGTGCTTAAGGTGCCAAATAAGAATCAATGTAGGCACCTGAACAGACTGGATCAGAAACAAATCTATTAGAAACACAGCTTTATTTAGCAGGAAGCCCAAACAAATATCCAACCAATACAGACCTCGTTATAATGTTCCAAAGCCTTCAATGATTCAAGGTGTGGTCAAGCAAATTGGAATTTCTTGACGAAGGAAGCAAGGGCTAAGAAGGACAACTAAAAAAGAAGTTTCCCTTGTTAAATTTAACATAGCTATCCACAATATCTTGTAACAGATTTGCTAGCCGTAGTGGTAGAGACCCAATAATAAGGACTTCCCTCCGTGGTCCAACTGTTGAACCCATCACTACCAAAATCACAGTCAATAAAACAACCACCAAGTCTACTGGAAGCAAGCGCCACCACTATCCATGCAGTTTGGATCTCCTTAAAAAAAAACTTATCTCAAGCAGTAAGATGCTGTAAGCAACTTTTTCTTTGTCAGATAAAATGTATAGATTGATATCCAATTCCAATTTTTCCCAAAAATGGCCCATCAAAATGTTTTCAATTCTTTTGTTTTTTGATTAAATAGTTTGTGCGTTTCAGACTAAGGGGCAATATAAAAAAAAGATCCTCGTTATAAACACAGGACAAGGGCTACCTAAATCCAAAATTACCCTACCTTGTTATGGACGAGACACAAGAATCTCTTTTGAGACATTGGGGGTGATGTTATGATACAGGATGTAGGATTTGGAAATGTATGCTTTAGTATTTGATGAGCCAAATCAAAATGCTATCGCTAACAATTGGTAAATAATAACTACAATTAAACAACAAAGTCAGCCACAAAGTAGCAAGGCAATCCTTTGATGCCAAGAAACATTGTGGATAATTTTGACAAACACCACTGCATAAAGTAACTCTAGATTAATTAAGAAGAGACCAGTTTTTAATCCATGTTGCCAATTGGTAACAGCACCAATAGGTGTAGGTTCAGGTTAACTACACGTACAAGTGGAAATTACCAAAGTTATGTTGTTTTCATTTTGTTTTGTTTTTTGCTTTTTGCTTTTGGTTTTTTGTTTCTTTTTTCCGTCATTTCTATTGTATTGTAAAACATTGAGCTACACTGGAAGTTACTTCTAGTAAGCCACCTGATGTTGTCTACTTAAGAGGCTCTCCCATGTTCTGTGGACAATATCTACTACGGATTAGGAAGTAAAATTCAAGGGAAAGCGGTGCAGAGAGAGAAAGAGAGAGGCCCAATTTACATAACACAAAAAACACTGACCCACAGCCACAGGTGCAAACATCAAAAAGTATTTTTTTTTTTCCTTTGAAGTTGATCGTGACAATAGTTCTATTAGAGCACGTGCAAGCCATGTTACTCTAGCTCTGAGATCCTTCTGTAAATATGTCATTTCTATTAGAGGTTATTAGTAAAAGAAAAAAAAATTGATGACATTTCTAACAGATCAAAATTTTCTACTCATACAAAACATTCTAACAATGTCTTGATTTTTTTTTGGCCAAATTAGAAAATAACACCTGCTAAAGACCCCGATTTTGTTTTTAACACCTGTTAAAAAAAAAGTTTTATTATAACACCTCCAAAAATCCCAAAATTTTGGTTTCACCACCCACTAACAGATTTTTGGATGGAATCCGTTAGTGGGGCCACCATGTACACGTGTCAGTTGTTAATTAGTTTAAAAAAAAAGAAAATTTAAAAAAAAAAAAAAAACCTAACCACCTAATCGAGCCAGCCACCGCACCGGCACCACCTGCGGCCAGTCGCCTCTTCCCTTCCCCTTCCCTATTTCCTACCCTGATTCCCAATTTCCGGCGCCAATCACCAATTTCCGACACCTCCCTTGCTTCCCCCACCCCAACCTAGCCCAGAAACCTTAGTCATCGGGAGCTTGGGACCGTTTTCGAAGGTGGGAAGGGAAGAGGTCGGTTTCTGGGTTGAGGGAAAGGAAGGGGAGCCGGTTTCAGTGGTGTGGGAAGGGAGGGGGCGCCGGTTTCGGCGGTGCGGGAAGGGAGGAGGTCCATTTAAGGGGGTTGCGTTGGGGAGGGGAACCGTACTTTGGCGGCTTTGTGAAGGATGATAGCGGTTTTCGAGGTGGGTTAAGGGTGGGGGAGCCGATTTCCGGTGTTAGAGGTGGTTCGGCGGCGAAAATCGATGGCTGGTGGTCGGTGGTTGGTGGTTGGTTGGTTATGGGGTAGGCAGGGGAGAAGGCCACCGTTTGTGGCTGGCCGCAGGTGGTGCCGGTGCGGTGGCTGGCTGAGTTAGGGGGTTAGGTTTTTTTTTTAAAATTTTTTTTTAAACTAATTAACAACTGACACGTGTACATGGTGGCCCCACTAACGGTTTCCATCCAAAAATCTGTTAGTGGGTGGTGAAACCAAAATTTTGGGATTTTTGGAGGTGTTATAATAAAACTTTTTTTTTAACAGGTGTTAAAAACAAAATCGGGGTATTTAGCAGGTGTTATTTTCTAATTTGGCCTTTTTTTTTTAGACTAAGAAAACTCCCTAAAGAAAGTAATGAGGCCAGAATTTTGTTTTAATTATTTTTCTTGATATGCAAGAAAACAAATCTTTTATCAACCCATTAATAGTTAATTGGAACACCAATGTTTTTTATTCAAAAAGATGATAGTTTTCTAAACCTAAATCTCCCCAACAAATTAAATTATGAAATTTATTGTAAAAAAATATACAGCCATACTAGCAAGATCAGAGCACAAGCATTAACCCTTGAAATCAATGGGTGCAAAGGGAAAAGCAAAAGAAAGCAGAACAACAACAGCATAAGAACCGCAGTAATAGATAACAGGAACGCTGATCACACATTGTCTAATGGTCCCTAAGTTCTACATGAAGCATAGATCTTGTTACTAAACAAGACTCAGACACTCAGGAGTCGAAAAGCACCTAGATGATAACTTGCTTGGAGAAAGCATTAATTAGAATGAGTAGATAAGGCTAGCAGCTTGGCCCACTACAGAAAAGCATAGATTATGAAGGATCAGAAGTTGTACCTGTTTATATAGTCAACTTCAGATGAATGACAAGATCACGTCTGCAAAACCATAAGCACATGCAAAGCTGCTGAGAGGTTAGAATCTCTAAAGCTCAACCTGTATAAAAAACATTGAAGATGACTATGAGATTGATGGAGGTTTCCCACTATGGCCCCAACTTAATCATGCGTAGTTAGTTTGTCAAATGAATTCTAATTTAATTGGGCAATTTCTATGAAAAATCATGGTTCTGAAGCCATATTGGCTACAGGACATCCAGCTCAGATTGTCGATTTTACTCTGTTTAAGAGGAAAGGACTATGAAGTACCACTTTCTTAACACAATAAGTTTACATCAAGGAGGGGGAAACAAAGAAAATGATACAGGTGACACCAAGATGTTTTGATTTGTGATCCACATACATAATATGCTCGTACAACAGAACCTGCCTTTCCTTCCTCCCAAATTTACAAGCGCTCAAAAGTAAGCATATAACTTTAGCTTTTTCCTAATTTTTAACAGGCTCAGAATGCAGAATATGATGACCAATTAAGATTTCTTTGAAACTTGCAAAAAATCAACTATGAAATTCTTTTGCTTGCGCTAAATTGATAGTATACCCTGTATTATGTTTCGAAATGTTATATTGAAAGCTTCAACAGTCTAAACATATGTGTTAGACTCTCAAACTTACAGTAGATGTCAGAAACAGTTAAAAAAAACAAAAAAGGAGGTGTTCGCAGTTTTAGACTCTCATAATAAAGTAACAATCAGGTGCAAATATATATCTTTTTTAGCAATACTAACACAAGTCTTTACTTCTGACATGAATCTCTTACATAGTGGTTGAACTCGTTGAAGGCTTGAAGATGTTCCTGCTGCTCCTTGACAAGATTCTGTTGTCTTCATAGTTTGTCAATGTGAGTATCACCTAAATCATTCAGAATAAAGCAAGAAATTAATTCTATATTGTAACACTTTTTCATAAAATTAAGTAATCCTCTGATAAATAGATAATTGATATTCCTAGTTATAAACAGAAACTAAAAATTGTATGTCTATTCTTCAGAAAAAAAAAAAAAAATTGTGTCTTTACAGTGATGCAGCTAGAGTTCTGTTCCATGTCAAAAAATTGTATAGACACAAGTTCTACAGCAGCATCTGCAATTCTTTATTAGACCTGTAATTAGTCGAAATCAAAACAGATATTGTTCACATATTCAATAGATCCGGACCCTCAACATCAGGGTCCCTAAACATATCCAATCTGGTAAACTTCTTTGATTATTCAAATTATTTTGTTATTCCATCAAGGTGTAGCAGGCTAACAGCCACCCATTATCCAACTCCTAAAACCAAGAAACAGCCTCCAAGAGAGTAAATTGCATGTTAATATTTGTAAATTAACATGTGTGAATATTATAACGAAGGATAATTTATCAAAGCACAATCATCTACACTATCAGCAATTTAAATTGGGTTCCAACAGAGAACAAGGCCTTGCACTATCCAGAAGTGTCCAATTTGTCAAAGCCTATACACATAATAAACTAAGGGCATCAAATTTTCTAGCTAAAAACTTTCAAATATAATCACCTACAGATAAAACATCAAATAAACCAAGGTGCACCAATGGAACACACCCACTACATTATTTCAATAGATAATTAAAAGAACATACATGTGCATGAAACTATTTTAACATCTTAAATTTTGATTGAAAGTGTTTGTTCATAATTTCAGATGTTCACAGCGGACTTTCCTTGTATAAATTAGGTCAGAGTGAAGTGTGCTAAAGGATTTTTTTTTATTTTTTATTTTTTTTGGGGGGGGGGGGTGGGGAGGGTGGGTAGCCGAATAGACATTCCCAATTGTAGGACAAAGTCCCTATGGTACACAACATTTGTAAATATATGAACAAAATCAAACAGCACTAGTAACTAGTAGTACACCTAAAGACACAGAGGATACTGACCTGGTGCAAGCTGCCGCAGATTTCAGCTCTCACTTGCCTCTAATGAACTTTATGAATGAGATGATTACATTCTGCATTAGAGAGAGAGAGAGAGAGAGAGAGAGAGAGAGAGAGAGAGAGAGAGAGAGAGAGAGAGAGAGAGAGAGTTTCACTAATTAAGGCAGAGAGCAAAATTGGGATTGAGGGAGTGCAAATGCATCACTTGCTGATCAACTGAGACCGAAGTTAGCATGGCTTCTTACTTTTGGATTTTATCATTCAAGAAACAAAAACACAACTGGCTGAGTGCTCTAATAATAAGAAAACAATCAGCTGATACACTCTAAAACAGCAGGATTCCATCTTGATAGCATCATAAAAATTGTGCTACTGTTCTATGGTGAACTGGTGATGTATCTCTACTCCCCCTACAGCATGTCTAGCATATGGATAATTCTAAATTGCAATTACTCATTGCAGCAGTAATTCCGAGTTGTGGACATGACAAGGGTTTGAATTAATTTCAATCAACAACAGAGAGAATAGGATATACAGATACACATATCAGACCAAAGCATTAGAAAGGATAAGAAAGTTCCAAGCAACTCCACGAGATAGACTTGTCTACTTTAGAGCCTTCACTTAAATTTATCCAGCACCCATGGACGATAAAACACATTCCGCACCTTTCTCTGCTTGAGGGTTCTTTCTCATCTACAATCACTAAATATTCCCTTCTAGAAAGAACACAATTTATGTTTCAAAAAAGGGTGTTTCATTATCCACATACAGCAGCTCAAACAATATATATCCTATTACAACTTCGCTATTAATGGATACTACTTTACATCAATTCCTTTTTTCTGTCTTGAGAGCATCAATGACCTGGAGTTCTTCCCTTTATCAGGTAGACAACAGCCGCTATTTATTGATATAATTCTACATTCATAAACTTGTGTTGACACATTTCCTCAACAGTCTGCACATTGCCCTTTGACTGATTTCCCCAAAAATCTGTTCAAACAAGTTTACTCCACTTTGTAATCCAGCTTTAACTTGTTACCTCTATCCAACTACATCCAGCATCTTTCTTTATCCCTTGCTCCTTCATCAAATTACTTAATTGTTCAATCTCGTCCCACATGTTGAACTGAGCATACAAGTTTGACAATAAAGCAAGAACCCCAGCATTTTTAGGCTCCAATTCAAGGGCCTTCTTAGCAGCCATCCTGGCCAAATTAACATTTCCATGTTCCTTACAAGCATTAAGCAAGGATCCCCATAATGAGACAGAAATGACAAGCCCTTTTCCGGCCATCTGACTCATTAGCTTCCAAGCCTTTTCCAAATCACCAGCCTTGCAAAGCATGTCAACTACACAACTGAAGTGCTCAGGGCCAGGATCTAGCGCAAAGTCATGGATCATGGACTCAAAATAAGAGAGACCAAGATCAACTTGGCCAGTGTTAGCACAAGCTGATAAAACAGCCACAAAGGCTACCCCGTCTGGCCTCACTCCTTCAACCAACATGTCCTGATACAGAGAAATTACTTGTATATAATGCCCACTTCTACCATATGACCCTAACATTGAAGTCCATAAAACAACATTTCTCTTTTCCTTCACACCTAATTCAAGTCCAGATAGGTTAAAAACTTGTACAGCCTTGCTCACTAACCCACATCTCCCATACATTTCAATTAACGAACTTAAGAGGACCACGTCAGTTTCTTTGCCAGAAGTTACACGGAGCACATAGGCATGGACTTGTTTACCCAAGCCAATAGCAGACAGCCCTGCACATGCACATAAAGCTGCTGTCAAAGTGAAGTGATCATACTTCAGATTCAGCAGAGGCATCTTTCTGAACAGTTCAATTCCCCTAATCCATAACTTTGCCTCACTATAACCTGCTAAAAGGGCATTTGCGCAAACAGAATTTTTCATTGGAATTTCATAAAAGGCCATTTCCGCATCATCGATGAATAATGATCTAGAATACAGACCAACAACAGCACTACCCACAAATACACTTCCGGACCAACCTGCCTTCACTGTATAGGTATGCATCTGCTTACCAAAATTAACAGTCTTGGCACTTGAAGCAGCAGTTAAAGCACTACATAGGGCATAAGAGTCCAGTGGAACACCATGAATGTGCATCAAAGAGAATGTCCTAAGAGCCAAGTAAGAGAAACCCCTTTGACTAAAATCAGCGAGTAATATGTTAAAGGGCAGTGGGTTTTGAGAGCTTACAGAAGAGAAAAAGTTGGTTAGAGTTTGGTGAGTCTCTTTGTTGGATGCCACAGTTATGCATGAATACATAAGTTTAGTAAGAATGTTAAGGGAACTGAAGAGCAAGCCCCTTCGAAGTAATTGACCATGATATTTTTTTTATCTCTTTGACATTATTGATTGAAGTAAAATGGTTTAGTGAACAAATGACAGACGTCTCTTCAATGAACCAACAAACCATTCTTTCAAAAAACAACACTTACGCAATGCGGGTATGTTGGCTGTTACAACCAGCTGCAGTTGCCTCTTTGTGCAATCGGTAATCTCCTTAGCCAGATGAGCTCTTTCCTAATACATTGCAAGATCATGATCAGACAAGAGGCGAGGGCATCGAAACACCAAGCACAAATTTGACTTAATTATACACAGAATTCATGTTGTGTACTTGGGTCACCGAAGAAATTGTTCAGTACTAAATTGAAACCTATCAACCATAATATTTCACATAGACATTTAATCAAACACAAAACGTGCATTCTTTCAAAACTTCATCTAATTTTTCAACAAACCCACGAACACAAATAAAGTAAAACAACACCTCCTCTAACTGCAAACAACAATTCAGAAATTCATGTAAACATTCTATAATTGCATCTTAAAATCAAATTTATATGACGCCTTATTCATTGGAACTAACCAACAATTTCCGAAGATCATGCAATAATGTCAAGTATTTGATTTCCATTAAATTCAGTGAATAAGAAATTATAGTTTACACATTAAATGAATTAAACATTGTCTTACCAATTTATGACTACAGAAATCAGATACTGGAGCTGCAATTGCAGTTAAGAACTGCTATCAACGGTGATCGGAAGAAGAGAATGAGTATAAAGTCTTCAGTGTTGCGGCTTCGAGTTGATGATAGAGAGGTTATCAATGGAGAAAAGGCGCCAAACTTCCATGAAAATGGGAAGAACGATGAGAAATTCTGCTTGTCTAACGTACTAACGTGTGCCTTCCCTTTTGAAACTGAAAGCGGGAGTTGGAGAGAAAATACAAGTTTCTCAAGAAATGAAATGTTTTTCAAAGGGGTATTTTCGTATTTTTATGTAAATTAGCAAGGTTAGTTGTGTCATTTCAGAAAAATTAATAACCCACATACTCACTGCTCTCTCTCCTCAACCATGAAAGTTGAGAATTCTTCAGCAATGGATGATTGAAGGTCGAGGAATTCTTCAACAAGGGAGGGAAAACTCACAGAAACGACAAACACCTACCATTTGGGGTTAACCATTTCTTAGGGGTTTTCGTTGCCGCGGGAGATGGGTGTTGGGGCTGGGGTTAGTTACGGTGTTAGTGGCGTTCATGGTGTTGGAGTTTGTCAGCCATTGATGATGGAAAAGGTTGAAGAAGATGAGAAAGGTTGAAGAAGGAGGAGGAAGAGTTTGAGTCAGCCACAAAAAAATAATAAAATATTGGTAAATTTGCTATTATTTACCGATTTTGCCATCTTGAGAAATGTTTCTTAGGTTTAGAAAGTGGGGCAAGCTCGGAATTTAATACACAATCCAATTTAGGGTTCCAACCATTTTTTTTTTAACGTAGTACTCTATCAATCTAGCGTGACACGATTGTCATGGGTTCAAATCTCATTCACCCTCACCCTTCTTTTAAGTGTAATATTTAGCGTTGACTCGTCGAGTAAGGCTGCAAACGATTTGAGTCAAGCCGAGTTTTAGTCTATTCAAGCATTAACGAGCTTTGAATGAGTGTAAATTGAGCATAATTAAATAATACAATCCCTAATTTATCATTAAAAATTGGTTTCTTTCAAGTTTTAATGCATACTTACATGCTTGGAAAAAATGCAAATAACCACTTCTCAAGCACCTAAAATTGATTTTACCACCCTTTTTTTAAATAAAAAAAATAAAATAAATAAAATTTACCACTTATAGGAAAAAAAAATTATAAATCACCACCTCTTTACATTTAGTTTCATTTAAAAACATTGATTTTTTATGCCAAAACTTGGTCTTTTAAGGTTGTAGGGGTCAATTTGGTTCTTTGGGATCAATTTGAGGTTAGAATTGATTTTTTTTTTTTTTTTTTTTTTTTTTTTTTTTTTTACTAAAACGCCTCGTTTTACATGTTAAAAATTACCTCGATTTGTGTGAAACTCTCAAAATGAGGCATTTTTTTATACTTTTATGGGTGTTTTGACTTCAAATCAAGTGACCCCAGATAAAAGATATACAGTATAACAAAGTTTAGTAAAGTAGAGATTTTTCGAGTTGTTCACGAGCATTATCGAGTCAAACATGATGATTTGTTCATTCATTTGACGAGCTTAAGATTTTTGTTCAAACTTATTTGTTACTTAACAAATGAGTTTTGATCAAGCTTTGACCGAGTTTATTCGCAAGTAGTTCATGAACTTATCGACTCATTTACACCCCTAATGTTGGGTAATGGACCCATGCATGTTGCATCCACATTTCAAGCCCAATTGGCTCTTATATGAGGGGCGTGATAGAGTAGGCTTCAACTGTTAACTTAAGTTTTTTTGTTGCAATGTGCTTTAACTATGTACACTATATCGTGTCTGAGTGTGTCAAATTCATTATACACTTGAGTGTATTATTAGGTCCCATTGCCACCGGATGTCTTTGAATATGTGACCCTTGAATATATGGAAAATGTGTTCATTAACTACCTTTGTTTCCTTTAACATGTTTTACTTTTGACATTATTCATATTAGTATTGGAGTTTTGACTTTCGACTTTTGGCAGCAAAGTATAATTAAACTTACAATTAATCTGATTAGACTTATTTTCGAATCTTGTATACGAGAAAGATAAGTAATAAGCTTATTGAATAAACCTTTTTAGTATCTTAAAATCGAAAAAAAAAAAGAAATTTGAATACAAAAAATCACTCTAGTGCCTTGAGGCAAACATAATTCCATTGTCATGTCAAATAAAACAGAAGAAGTATGTTTTTAATTCCCCATATATTAATCCACTACACAACATTTTACTCTTTTTTCCCATAACTCACAATCCTAAATTAAACGAGAGAGTCCCATTTTATCACCTTGACAATCAAAATTTGTTTATCAAGTAACAAAATTGTAAATAAATAAACAAAAATAACCAGTAAACATAACATGCATTTTCATAATTATATCAACAATTGTGAGCCCATATTTATTAAATTATTGTTGATTTATTTACAGTTTTGCTATAAATTTGTATTTCCTCTAAATTATATGCCGGTTAAACTGATCACTCTTAGAAAAAATGAAATTGGATACATAATAAGACACTTAAAAAAATGAAGGGACTAATGTAGGTGTAGGCGTGTAGCCGAGAGTGAGGGATAACTCAAGTGGTTAGAGTTTCCCTCCCAATTTCAGAAAATATTGGGATTAATTCTCATCCCCTGCTCTCGTGACTCGTTAAACACCCAAAAAAAATTTGTAGGTGTAGCCGAATGCTTGGTGCCTTGGTTAAGTGGTTATCCAAATTCCAAACCCATACGTTTCCACCTTACCACATGTTGCAAGTCATGACTTTGCATGGCATGATAATTGCTTCTGCAGTTGTGCATATCATCATCATCAGTCATCACTCAAACCCAGATTCCCAAAAATTGAGGTCTTATAAACCAAAATTTGTTCAATTATTATTTAAATTCACATAGAAAATTGTCAATCATTTACCAAGGACGAATTTATACGTAATTGTACTGAATATTTGGCAATTTCTAGTTTACTACGATGTTGGAGTTGGGAATTTTGATCTGGCGTTTCCCACGAAATAACTTACTTACAGTTCCAATGTCTTTCTATTTCTATATTTTATGGTAGGTTTCAATTTTTCTAATTTTTGCCATAATTTCAAGATTTAGGGGCACAATTTTACGTAAACAAAGCTTAAATTAGGTGTTTGGTGACCTAAAATTTTCTTCATCATAAGATTATTGCATATTTTGTAATTTAATTGCAACTTATTCGGAATTTTTGCTGATTAAATGCAAGAATTTCATTGTGATTGTGAATTTGTTTTGTGTTTCAGGATTTGATTGGAAAGGCATGTAAGTTTAGGGTTTCAAGTTGCTGGATTTGTAATATTGCAAGGTTAGTTTTACTTTTTTGTATTTACTGATTTTGCAATAAAATTGTGTTTAGAATTTTGTTAATAATTGACAAATTTGCATATTGAGTATGACCCACCTTCGTTAAAGCTTCATTTTCAGATTCACCAATTACTAGGAGTAGTTTTTGTTGGTTGTTTTGTCCCTACATGTTACTATGGTTTTGGAGGTTATTGTTCAATATTCAAGTGAGCATTCAATGGACTTTCGTTTTCCAATTAGTCCTTTTGTTTGATTTATATGATCCATTTTATTTGATTGTACGAAATTGGGTACTTAGAAGACCATATACTATGTAACCGGTCGTTGTAACCGAAGAAAACGAAGGAAAACAGGCCATGTGAAGGGTCTCTAGTAGCGAGGATGAACAATGTGATCCGCAATTGTCACTCACCCGTCCTTATGCTTGACGTTTGATTATGTTGTGGTCCTGGTTTCTTTGACCCACATGTATCAGGCTTAAGAGGATAATTATCTCGACTTTGTTTTATTTTTATAAATAGGGGTAATATTTTTTGGAAATGCTATATGTAGCGAATTAAAATTAATGTATTTCTTTGTAGCTTGTGGGCCTTGCAAAACAACGAATTTACTTGTTCCAAGTAGAACAAAGATCAGCCAATCAGCATTTCAGGTTGCTATTGTTATCTGAAATTAGTGTAAAATCAATGGATTTACTTGTTAGGATTAAAGATCGTATGAGCAAAAATCTTGATTATTTCGACTGACCAGCATTTTACGCTGTTCTTTTTGTTCTAAAGATGACTTTTGACTATGCCCTGTATGAACTAAGTTTCAGACATGACAAAGTAGCAATACTAGGTGGTAAACCGTGTTTGTTTTACGGTAGCATGCTTATTATATGTAATATATATAATCAGTTGAGATTCTTGATACCAATTGTTTATGGTACATATATTTCCAATCAGCTATTTTATAGTGAACTGATTATTTTAATTCATTAACATATGGGTGAATCTCAATGAAAATAAGGATGACTAAATGTTATTCTTTGTTTTTATAACATTAAAAAAGTGAGGTTATTGTGCACCAGTACAAGTTACTGTGCTGTTGCATGTATTAACGTTACCGTTCTCCAATCGCTTGTCTCATTATTGAATTTGGCTGTAATGATGAGAATTATTACTGCAGAATGGATATAGAAAAGATGTTGCACTTGCACCTGCATTCTCATCTTGGTAGAAAGGATATATTAGGGGATATTATATTACTTTTGAAATTGTGATGATCTTCGATTATTAGTGTATATCGCTGATTGATTTATCTCTCCTTAAATCTTGGAAACATGATTTTTTTAGACAATCCCGCTTAGCGACGCTACAAATTAATGATTGTTGATTACAGTTGTCAATTTGTCATTATAGTCTATAAGTCTATTTTTCTTTGAAAGATGATTTATAAGCCTTTAATTTTCGACTTTATTGCAAAATCTAGCTGTTTTTATCTATTTTTTTATATTAATGCAAAGAACTCTTTTTCATGGAGATAGGAGTTTCAACATAAGTCATTACAAAACGTGCAATTAATCTTGTTGACAATAAAGGCTGATTGCCAAAACAATATGACAGAATTATTACACAAATTATGGATATGGTGAGTAACTACCAAAAAGAAGTCCACCCAATGAGATGAGTGGAAAAAGAGTTTTGTATATACACTTGTGCAATTTGGTTCTCACGATATTAGCATGATATCGAGAACCAAACAAAAATGATGATAAAGAAATTTAATGTTAATATGGTGTAGGCTAGTTATCTATTGTCAACCTTCACGTGTTCACAGTGAATATTATTGATAAGTAACTAAATGGATGAATGTTTCTTCATCGCAGGGAATGGTGAGTCCACCAGTGGGATGACTATAGCCAAACTCTTCCTCAGCAAGGCTAAGCAGTTCTTGAAATGCAGGATTATTCAAGCAAGATAAAGGCACCACGTACCGTTTCTTGCCCTCACTGTAGTCTCCCACGTATACAGCAAGGTGACCCTTTGGAACTCCTCCCTGAAGTTTGTTATGCCTCTTTAGTACAATTTCTTTGGTGTGTGAGATCATAGAAGACAACCGGAAAATCATGTTGGTAGATTTAGGAGTTTCTGAAAGAAACTGACTCTTTAATGGAAGAAATGAGAGCAAAATCCCAATTTAGGACTATTAGGAGTTGGTGAAAGAAACCTGACTCCTTAATGGAAGTAAATGGGAAAGTGAAAACTGTAAGTGCAGTAGTAGTACTTGAAGATACATGGGTTTAGTGATTGGTATTTATAGGGAGATGGAGAAGTGAAATTATATTCACTGGCACTCTGGAGGTTCTTCCAACTGGAAGATTGTCAACTTGGAATTTTTAAGAAATGAACCCATCTCCCTTCTCCGTACGCACATGGCTGATGACTCTTTTCAGTGCCTATGGTTTTAATTATTGCCCTTACATGTGCCCTTGAAACTCATGAAACTTCCGTACGTTTAAAGGATGAAAAAAAAATACCTGGAAAGATTTCTATTATCTTGGAATTTGAAAATGAGTCAAATGACAGCTAACATACATGGGAAAGTGGTTCACAGCATTTCTATCTGAAATTTGAATGCAGTGGTAACCTTGTAGGAAGCTTCTCTTCCCAAATGAAAAGTAGAAGTAAATTTTAGGTAGCTTCATACTGAAGTATTTTAGAAGACTATTTGTTTGTCTCATTGCCTGTCAAATTTTTCTTTCATTTATAAGAAAATTGACAATCAAAATGCAACTCATACCTTAATCACATGTTTTGTATGATATATTTTCATCAGTCTGTATGGTTTATGTGTCTGTTTTCAATAGAACTGTTAGTGTGCTAGATAATTAGGGATAGCTTACTCTACTGTTGTTTTCTCTATCTGTTTTGAAGTCATAGGAAAGCTGTTTCTTTGATTAGAGCAATCTCTTTGTGTTGCATTTTTGCTATGAAAGCTCATCTCTGAGTCTTTGTGCTAGGTATGGTATGATTTCGACATATTTTAGAGGGTAATAACAGCCTGGTATGTATCTCCTATTAGACTTTCATGTACGAACTCATTGTCTTTTATTGACATGTCCTGGAACTTTAGTTAGAGAATTATAAGAAATAAAAAGTTAAGGTTTATAATTTCAAACTCTGGATGATGTTGAGCATGCTGATTCGAGGATAATGATAATTTGACAATAACAGGTGTGATCATGTATGAGTACTTTATATAGTTGCACCATTTGTTATATTAAAAAGCCAATTTTGAGCCAAAACCACCTAAGCAAGCTCTGCTGATTTGACTCTTCTGAGGATCATGATAAATTGACAATTATGAATGTAATGATGTATGGATATTTTATATCTTGCATCATTTTCTATGTAGAAAAGCGGATTTGATGCCCAAAGAACACAAGCAAATAGCCAACATCACTATTGCATTTTTTTAGTAAGCATTGTTGCAAATAGTCACTTGGTGGTGTTATGGGCTTAGGTAGTGGGGTCTTTCAAGCTAAGGTTTGCTCAGTCGGGGTGGTTCAATGGAACTGAGTTAATCTGTAGGGTTATCTTTGTCATCGTTGCAAGTTCTATTCTTGGATTTTCCATGCTTGGGCTTCCTGCATCTCATTGCTCGTGGCCTGTCTTCTGACATTATTAGGAGATTAATACTTTCCTTAATTTTGATCTTCCCTGGATTTGTCACGTTCTTGCTCCCTGCTGCTCTCACCCCTTCCTTTGGAGCATGCTGTAGCATTTGCTTCCAAATAAGTTGTACAAGTCAGTTCTTATTTTCTTGCCTTTAAATTATATCCATTAATATAGACATTATTGTGAAATTCCTCTAGAGGAATGCTGGTTAGATTCTGGAGATACCGCAATTGCTTAGATTATTGTGAGTGATTAGTAGATTTTTTTCAGAGAAGTGATAAGTTACCTCTTTTTTTTTTTTTTTTTTTTTTTTTTTTTTTTTTTTTTTTTTTTTTAATTGGATAAAACAATTGCAATTTGTGCAACCATTAGGGATCCTCTGGAATTTCATTATCTGAATAATGTAGTTACAGTATTCAATAGATGCTTAAGGGACCAATGCTTATCTCTCTAACTTGGTTGGTGATGTAATGTTACAACTTGCTAGTTTGGAAAGACCTGAAAGACTGTAACATATGCTGTTAGTAATGAGCATCTGATTCTTTCTTTCAGCAGTATTGTCTTAGGCCTAAGGAGCATTGTTAGACGAGGTGGGAGATCATACCATTTTTAACATATGTTTATATTTTTATAGGATCAGAATAACTGGAATTGCAAAATGCTATTAGACCTGGAGGTTCAAAGTAGGAAGCATGGCTCTCTTCACATAATGCAAAATGCCAAAATCTGTTTCTTGCTCTGTCTTGTGGAATTTTCTTAAGCAAAAATGGAACTACAAGGTCTACAACTACTTGCATGCTACCAATAATATTTGCATCTCCTAAACTTGGTTTTAATTTCAAATTTAAGGCTTGCATTTTCTAAAAATGGTATGTAATATTTTCTGATTAAGATACGCTTTTTGGTGAGTATACTATGTTGCAACACATTGAAGAGAAGAACTTCTGAAAAAAGCACTACTTTGTGCAGAATTTTGATTATGGAGTTGAAAAGTGATATATGTACACTGATTACAAGCCTTTGTCTGTGAATAAATCTAATGAACTATAAATCTAATATAAAGGAAACTGTCAAAACTGTGCTGAGGACTGCCTTCTATGTATCCGTCATGCTTCAATGTTAATTGTTAAATCGACTGGTGATATTGATGAAGGCTTCCTCATTGCATGGAATTGTTAGCCCACCCATAGGATGATTGTAGCCGTACTCTTCTTTGGCATATCTGAGCAAGTCTAGGAAAGAAGGTTGGCTTAGATAAGTAAGTGGGACTACATATCTCTTCATTTCACTTTCCCCTACATAAACTGCAACATACCCTTTTGGAACTTCCTTTTGATTTTTGGCATTATGAGAGTGTGATTTGAGTATGTGCCTGGCATTAGAGATGATTGAAGGAAACCTTGCTCTCATCATGGTTACTGATTTGAGAAAGTTAAGAGAGATGGGCTTACTAAAATTAAAGAGTTAGAGATCAGAATTTTGCTGGAGGTAGCTTTGTTGGTGGATTGTGTTGATGCAAAATTAAGATAGTATCTTATTTATAAGGATATGAATCCTGAATTTGCTATGCGGCTTAGCAGAAGTCTAGGCAACTTGACTTTACAATAGGGACCCACCTCATTAAAGTTCACATGGCTTATTTTAAATGACATCACCAGTTCCCCCCCCCCCCCCCCCCCCCCCCCCCCCCCCTTCCTCTTTCTCTCTGGACCAGCCTTTAGTTCGATTTTCCTACCAGACTACCTACCTTGTTTGGAAGTCATTAACCCAATTGGGACCTGTAAGATTTAGCATATTACTTCATGTCTAAAAAATATTTTTGGTGAAATTGGCTGATGCTGAAGCTGAATTGCTGATAGTAAGCTATACTAGACAACAGGCTCATGTGTTTCTCAGTTGATTTTGGTTGATGCTGATGCTAGATTTAGGAGTCAGACTACATACCTTAGCATTATTGTTCACCAGCCCAGAATTGAACATTTGGTTTTCATAAATTTTTTATTTTTGAGCTAGGATGTGGTCGTGATTAAGTTAACGGTCAAGAAGCCATTTTTGCGGGGGTTGTGGCCTGATATCTCGGTCATGGTAAGCTCAAAAACCCGTACAATTTGCTAGCTATGCGGTTATGTGGTCAGGATTTATTACCATGAACATGACTGACCTGGATTCTAATGCGAAAAAAAACAGTAAATATGGTAAGACTGTTGTTTTAGTACTTAGTACTAGGAAAATTGGAAGGATTTTGTAAAGGTGTTTAAAACTTCAAGTCTGACTGGTCCTTACGTGAAAGTGAAGTAATTAATACATACACATGCTCCTTAGTCCTTACACCAGAGCTCCTTCAAGTAACTAATACAAGGCAACTTGGGAAAAAAAACTTTAATCTCTATCATCGATACTCAACTCATGGACTGATGGCCTATAAAGCATGGGTACTTCACTTGCTTGCCGTACTCTCTATTGGGTATGGGTATGATATATGTTATGCATATCGTGTATTTTTTTAAACAATAATATCTTACGGAAAAGTATACTTTTGTTTGTGTTAATTCATTTTATTTCAATTTTTAAATGGTTTTTCATCTTATTTGGATATTTAGATTCAGTTTATATTAAATATAAATATATCATGACATCCCTCATTTTTTAATATATTATAATACTTCGTCGTATTTACTTCGCCGTATCCGTATCCTCTACTAGTGAGTAACAAACCTGTTTTGTGTCCATACCTGCTTTTGTATCGGTTCTTGTGCAACTTAATTGATGACTTTGTTTACTGCTTGTTATTTTATTGCCTTTACATGCAACCTCGAAATTCATAAATCTGTCTAAGAAGTGAATATAATATCTAGAAGGCTTTCCGATTTCTAGGAAATGATTACTACCATACATTGGGAAGTGGTACAAAATAGACCTATCTAATTGCAATTGTAAGAAGCATCGTACTTAAGTTTTTGAATACTGTTATCTGCCTGTATGGCTTTTCCTTCTCTTCTCTCTTTTTTAAAAAAAAAAAATTAATTAATTAATATATTCCAAGTATTTTGTTGTGCTAACATATTTTCTGTGCAATTGAAAGAAAGGTTACTCACCCATCATTTATAAGCACTTGGTACCTAAATTGCTTCTTTAGTTAATTGATGGTGAATTCTTAATCATAAGTAGTTGGGACATTATGACTATTATATTTAATGGAGGGAACTCGTATGATTGATGTATACATTTGATTATTTGTTTTCATTTGCACTAATTCCTGATATACCAGAAATCCTTATTATAACAGGCATGCTATTGATGATTTCTAACCCAACGGCAATGATCGTCGAGTAAATTGAACCCTTAAAACTTTTTCCAGTGTTGTGCTAGTTTTCAATAATTTCAATGCTAAATACATGACTTTTATTGTTATAATTTTTCCAATCCACTGATATGTGAAATTCTGCCTAACCAATCCTGGAATCCTCTGGGATTTGATAAATGGTGTTGAAGAAGAGGGTGAGTTTGGGACCAATTTTGTCTCTTTAACATGGTTGGCGAATTTCGTATACATTACTTGGTAGAACCATAGAAAATTTGTGTAACATCTGATGTAAATATTAAGTGTATGTCTGTTTGTCTTAGCCAATTGTTTCTTACACCCTAGAATTGATGTAGGAGGAAATTAGAGTACCCTTCTCAGCATGTAACTATCCTATAGCACCCTAGTGCTTGAACCTCAAATTTCTATTAGATCTGGAGATTCAAAAATTTATAACTTATTACATAAGTAAGCAGTGTATACCAAGTCAGTGCTGGTTTTAATGGCTAAAATTCTTTTTTTTGAAGGGGTAAAATCCCAGAGCCATAGTGGGGTTGGCCTTCCTGAGAGACACTAGACTTAGGTTCCAGAAAAAGGACTCTATAATTGTCATCTCAGGGACTTTGAGGTTCAATCTGGGAAGTTAGCTTTCCACTCCTGATGCAAACTCTCTCTCCTGCCCTATCCGATTGATGATCATATCAATTATATTAAATTCAATCAGCATACATCTCCCAAGTTTAATTTCCAACTTTATAATGTATAGCTGTACTTCTTTGCTTCGAACCTTGTGACTGATTCTGGTTTTGGCGGGTGTGTATCTGGGATGTTGCCAACTCTATGGGCTTCATCTCCCGCTTCTATGGGTTTCTGGTGCGAGCTTGTTTCTTCGATGAGCCCAGAGACACCAAAGAAGAACCTCCCAAGAGGGAGGAAAAACAGTGGTTGAGCAAACAACGCAGGGTGCATGCAAGGGATTACAAAGAAAATGGTCACCCAAGAGGCACCAGCCACAACTTGAAGCTCTCCACCACAGTCTCAAGGAAGCAGCTCCCGAACAGATGATGGTGGAAGCAGCTGTCCCCCTTAATTCAACAGAATCCACTCCCAGGAGGAAATTTAGAGATGAAGCTCTCAACAAGATGTTCGAGCCGAGCGACTCCAGAGACAAGCTCCTCGTCAACAAAGAAGATCCAGCTCAAGAGTCAGATAAGATTCCAGAAGATAGCCGCACCAACGGCGCATCCGAAACTTGAGATAGTTTAGAGTTTTCTAATTTTGATTGTAACTTTTGTAAGTCGACGAGGTCGTCGACGGCTTAAGTGGGGGAGGATGTTAGAATCCAACTCCTTTTGATGTATTAGATTCCATTTAAGTGCTTTCCTAGAGTTTAGGTTATGTTTTCTTAGCTTGAGGTCCCATTATTGTGTTACTGTCAGATAAGTGTTCACTAGGGATTCTCCTTGTATGTCATTTAAAGCTCTTTAGAGGGCGAATGATTAATGAAATCTTAAAGCCTTCTACCAAGTGTTGCCTTGCTTTTATGCTTGTTTGTTGTTAGACCTTTATAGATATTGTGTCTTACTTGCATATTAGCTCCCCTCCAACCCAACTTGATGCGCTAAGGACTCGTGGTTCGGACCCGCTTGTGCCCGCTTTGAAGTATCGGCCGTCACAAGCCCCGACCACCCGCACTCCGTCGCCCAGATAGACGTGAGTGCTCCTGAGATTCTATTGCCCGCTTGTGTTGCTTTGTGCTCACAAGCCCCTCTTCCGCTCAAGGCTAGCGTTCTTGCCGCCAAAAGGCTAGAGCGCGCCGCACGTTTCGGGGTCCAAACTCCCGGACCGTAACACATGGGTATGTAAGGACATTGATAGACTTCACTAGGACCATTGTTTACAGTAAGCCAAACTTCAAGTTAATTTCCTAAATAAACTAATTATATAGTTCATTGTCTGCAATTTTTACGAGTTAGTCTTAAGAGATGCTATGTTATTATTTAATCTTTGACATGACTAATGCACCGCATGATTGACTTTGTCAATTTGATAAATATGACTCGAGTATAAACTATAAAGGGCTGATGTAATGGTCTTATTAATGCTGTAGAGCCATTGAAATATGCCCATGTTCTTGAACCTTAATGATATGCTTGTGTTACCAAATACAAACATAGCCTGCTCATTCTGGAGTTTATTGTATGGAATTCTGATAATGGTCAAAAAAGTATTATGGGCTGTGTAGCCTGTTAGACTTAATTTTTTTTCCTTGTGTAGTAAGTGGTTGCATTAGTGAAGTTTGTTTGTTTGTTTTTTTTTTTTTTTTTCATCAGAGGATGGTAATAAACTTGTGGGATGATTACTAATGAGCACTACCTCCGCAAGGATTTAGAGGCCATAAAATGCTGATTGGCTCAAGGAAGATATCGTTACCATGTAGTGTTGGTTTTCCATGTTACCATCTTCGATATAAAATGCAAGGTGACTTATGAAATTCCCTTCTATTTTTAATTGTGGAATTTGAGTTCTTTTGTGTTCGAGATTGTTGAAGTCAATTGGAAAACTATGATATTAGAATTTGTATAAAAGGAGTTGAGAAAGTTTTCTAGTTCTTTGAGGGGGTTTCTTTCTCTCTTATTTTATTTTATTTTATTTATTTATTTATTTTTATTTTTTAAATGGAAATAAATTTTTCGTATTCAAAAGATTGGGCCCTGACCATTGGTTTACCTAGTGCGAGCAAAATTAGAAAACGACTTCATCTTCATGGAAGGCTTTTTTTTGGAATGAAAGCCAATGTTGTTGACACCAAACATTCAAACTCAACCTAGGGTTTCATTTTGGATCTAATTATCTATGGCTAAAGAGAGTTATTGACTTGTTTAAGTTGGGAGGACATCACTTTTATAATTATTTTTTCTGAATTGAAATTATTTTTACTGATTTTCCGATTTTCTTTTATTTTTGTTCTTCAAAGTTAATAATTTTTATTGATTAAAATTTAATTTTATTGAACTGAATTATTTTTGTTGAACTGAACTTATTTTTACTAAATTGAAATCATTTTAATTGAATAATAATTGAATAAGGTGAAGAGAATAGTGTGTATGTATATTGATATGTAACATTTCAGTCATAAATGACTCATTATATGTTTAGAATTGATCCAGTGGTTATTTATGACAAGAAAGTGATGGCTATAATTATTCTTATTAATAGAGAGGTTAGTTACTTGAAAAAAAAATAGTGGCAACAGTAGATTCAAATAAGCTTTTAGCATATACGGTGTGT